ATCTAAAAAGTGGCGTGATAGAATGAAGTGTGAGGGTTTCTTTGAACGATTTCTCACTGATTCGCTTATATTCTTAGGAAGAACTCATGACGGCAAAATTAGGGCATGTGAAAGGGTATCAGCTTGTCCATCTTTAACTAAATAGTCTCAGTCTGAAAGTGTATTCCTCAGTAAAGAGATAATATTCTCAAATAGGCCCAGCGGATAGTTATTTTCCAAGATACATATGTCAACCGTTCAACTTCTTTAATCAAATGGTTGCTATCAGCTTGTCTCATATTCTTAAGAATCATTGACTTCGAAATTCCAACCTTAATTTTGTAACTATGGTTGGCGAGAAAATTCAGAAAATAGCCAATTTATGTTGGCTTCCTATACGCATATTTCTAACTTACTCTCTTCTCTAATAATTAGAACATCCAACGTCTCTCCAACAATGTTGACTCTTCGTATCTACAAAATAAATTCTATATTATCTGAGAACGAAATTTTCTATAAAGTTTCTTGAATAAGAGTTGCTGTTATTTTTGATAGCGTCAGGTGGTTGGGTTGATTTTTTCGACATTGATATGAGTGCAGCGCATAATTTTGATATATTACCACTAAGCCAAACATCCCCTGGCCTCAGTAGGTCACATGTCGGACTGAGATTTTAGGGTAAACTAGGTCAGGTGAAGGTGAGAGCTTAGCGAGGTCGAAAGTGCAGTCCTTCTGGATGCTAACACCTATTGGGAGGGTATTTTAAGTGGCATTTCGTGGCATCATATGACCTACTTGTATTATTGTGACACAATTAAACTAGCATTCCTATATCCTTTAACGAAAAAGTGTGGTTCCATGTGGAATTCAAAATTTAATTGTGATTTTCAAATCCACTTATAATGAACATATTGTTTCTCTTCGAAAGGTACGCCTGTTCTGATGCATCGATTGTAGTTTTTTTTTAAGAAAGTTTCTAATATAAGACTTGCTGTTTCTGATCACGATACAAGTTGGGATTTTTAGATTGCTTGGATAGTCGTTAAGCAATGAGACTTTATTTTTCTTGCAAAGCAATATATTGTTAATTGAAGGTATGAAGACCAAGATGGTGTGGTTTTTAGTATGGTCGTGGTCTCCTTCCATCATGTAAAGGTTGTTTGACCTTGTTTTCGCTCCCTGGTCGTACTGGCAGGAAGACCCAGTTGAAAGTACCATGTCCGGGGTCCATAGTATGCATGATACTTTACAGAGTCGTACCGTAGATTTGGTACATTCTCAGACGTTTGCCGGCATCGTCAGTGAGCCTTGTCATTCCTAGTACCGCACTACAACTCTTAAAAGGGACAAGTTGTGGTGTGGTGCTATGAATGGGAGGACTCACTAACGATGCCGACTAAGATGTCAGCGAAACGTCTGGGAATGTACCAAATCTACGGTCCGACTCTAGAAAGTAGCATGCATACTATGGACCCCGGACAAGGTACTTTCAACTGGGTCGTCCTGGAAATACGACCAAGGAGCGAAAATAAGGTCAATCAATTTCAATATATGGTTAAGTTTATAGTGAAAGACAGGAACGCTTATTTTTGAGAATTTAGTGAACGCCTCTGGAAGTGAATTGATAGGCAACTCATCATACCAAACCAACTCCTACGATTGCAACGAACTCAGCCTCAGGGGCTTGCAAGTTAAACTTGACAGCCATTTCGACAAAGTATGCAAGAGGTATATATGCCTATTCAAGGAGCAGAGTGGATCAAATGCTATTAGTCCTGATTTCTCTTAAATAGGTGTCAAGCAAGACTCAGTCTCAAAAACAAACCGGAGCTAAAACCTGCCCCATGCTCTATCCCAGGACTTAGCATCATAATGAGATGAGCTCCTTCCCCCAGTCAAGAAAAGAGGTTGACCCACGGGACTTAGCTAATTCGCTTGCGTCTATGCTGCTGTGGCTGATGCATCACCGCTCGATTAGTATCGAAACTTGTGCTAAGGCTAGAATGCAGAATCTTTGCAATACCATTTGTTTCCATCTTAGCCATATTTTTCGATAACCATATTCATCTCGATCTCTTGCTGTAGCCTAGTATGTCTTTATTATCTTTTACTCCTTTGGTGTCTATTGGTCCAGTGATAACCCAGAGGTTGATATTTTGGGTGCAAATCTGTACAACAACTACCTCCGGCGCTACCGACGTTTGTCCGGTCGCAAGAATGACGCCGGTCCAGAGGTAAGCGGGGAAATCGACAAGAAGGCGGCTGTGGCTACTTCAAGAACGGTACCTGCGGAGGCCGATTTTCTGCCTCAGACAGTAAGGGTAATTGAATGTGAGTCAAATAATTATTTTATTGTGGGTTGTAGTACCGATTTAGTGAATCTTATTGTTTATAGAGGGGAGTTCGGCAATAAAGCTATCTGCCCCTCTAGAGGGCTTGAGCTTAGTGTTTATGGGAGTTTGGGATTATAATGCGACAATAGGGGATAGGAGGTGTATCGGACAAAAAAGGAGAATGGAAGAGAAATGTTGGCGAATAGGAAGCTGCTACGTCACTTGTCACTAATACTGGAGCTAGTAAGTGACGATTTCAACTATAAGGCCGGTGAAGCGTCTCTGAATGTACCCGGTCATAAGTCTAATGTTGAGAGTAGACACGAAAATAATGACAAAAGATACAGTAAAGTGTACATTTTCCGAAGCCACCCTGGAAATACAGCGCTTTTATATATTATATTATTTTATTTACTACCCTTGCTATTTTCTCTTTCAAATTTGCATTTTACATATTGTACCAGCAGGACTTTGAAGGGTGATTTAAAGGGCAATAACACTAGTCTGATACTTTTTTTTTATCATCAAATAAATCACGAGTTTTAATTACAATAAATTACGTCAGAAAGCGATG